TTGGAGAAGGATGTCATGCTTGGTAGGGTGGAGGGTCGACAAAAGAGGGGAAGGCCCTCAACGAGATGGATTGACACGGTGGCTGCAATGATGGGCTCAAGTATAGCAGGGATCGTGGAGCTGGTACGGGATCGGGCAGTGTTTCGTTCTGCTGTGCATGGGGTCGCTATGAGTCGGAAACGACTCGACAGCACTCAACCACAACAAGTGGTTCTACGGGCCCCTAAGTGGTTCTCCAGACCCCAGGTGGTTCTGCAGGCTCTGGGCGGTTCTACAGGTGCAGGTTTGAGAGCCCCTGGCCACATCCTCTCTGAGCAGCTGGCCTGCTGACGTTCATTTTTCGTCCAAACACCAGAGGGGCCCATGTTTGGGAGGTGGGACAAACAGGAGAGGAAGGGCTAAGAGGAGAGTCAGTGGCTGAATGGGGCCCACATCCCCCCAAATGGGGGACCTGCTCCTGACATAGCCACACTTCTGAGGAAAAGGTTGGTCCAGTCCCAGTGGGCAGACCTGGGTGGCTGGTTCTGACAGCTGTGTCTGCCTGCAGAGCCTACAGGTCTGCCCTGGACTACACCAAGCAGAGCCTGGGTATCTTCATCGACCTGCAGGAGAAGGAGAAAGAGGCCTACGCCTGGCTGCAGGCTGGCAAGATCTACTACATCCTGCGGCAGCACGAGCTGGTGGACGTGTACATCCAGGTGCAGGGCGCGGGGAGCCAGGAGTGGGGGGCTGGGGAGAGCGGGGGGACGGGGCTGGCGTGTGCCCAAGGACCAGTGTGTGTACTTGCTCGCTTGCTACCTCATTCATTCACTCACTCACTCACTGGTTTGATCACTCACTAACTCACTCACTCATTCACTCACTCACTTGTTCACTCGCTCACTGTCATTCACTCACTCATTCACTCACTCACTTGTTCACTCACTCGTTCACTCACTCATTCACTCACTCACTTGTTCACTCACTCACTGTCATTCACTCATTCACTCACTCACTTGTTCACTCACTCACTCATTCACTCATTCACTCACTTGTTCACTCACTCATTCACTCACTTACTCATTTATTCATTCACTCCCTCACTCTCTCACTCATTCACTCCCTCACTCATTGACTCACTCTCTCACGCACTCAATCATTCACTCACTCACTCATTCACTCATTCCCTCACTCATTCCCTCATTCCCTCATTTGTTCACTCACTCACTCACTCACTTATTCATTCACTCACTCCTTCACTCCCTCACTCTCTCATTGACTCACTCACTCATTCATTCATTGTTCACTCACTCATTCATTCACTTATTTGTTCACTTACTCATTTGTTCACTCAGTTATTCTTTCACTTGGTCACTAATTCATTCACTCACTCACTCATTCATTCCCTCCCTCACTCACTCATTGACTCACTCACTCATATATTCACTCACTTACTCATTCATTCCCTCACTCACTCTCTCTTTTACTCACTCACTCTCATATTCACTCACTCACTCATTCATTCCCTCTCTCACCCCCTCCCTCTAACACTCACTCACTCAGTCAATGCCCACCTGTTGAGCATCTGTTGGGTGCAGGGACCTGTGGTTTTGCCTTCCCTCTCCCTGCTTTCCTCACCTTCTCCCTCCTGCCTGTGCCCCCAACATCCAGTTTCTTTAACAAGCGGTGAACCTCAGTTTCCTCATCTATAACAGGGGTTATGAGTTGTGTCTTGCTGGATTGACAAAAGACTAACAGCAGCGTAGGGACAGCTAGCACAGTGTCCAGGGCATCTTGAGCCTACAGGGGTTGACGTGAAAATGTAAATAAGAATGCTGAGGAGGGCTTTCACAGAGAGGCTGTGGCAGCAGGATTCCAGATGCCCAGCACTCCTGCCCCTGGGGCAGTGGGCCTGTGGATATGACTAGGTTACAGTATGTAGCAAAGATGAAGGGGTTTTGCAGAGGTAATTAAGACCCCTAATCAGCTGACTTTGACTCACTCAGAAAGGAAGTTTTCCTGGGTGGGCCTGACCTAATCAGATGAGCCCTGTCAAAGACCCAGCCCTCCCTGATGGAGAGACTGGAGACTATGGATAGTCGTCCTGGCCTTGAGGTAGCAAGCACCCATGCAGTGAACTGTCCAGGGATGGGCCATGGGGCAAGGACCAGGGGTGGCTGCTAGGAGCTGAGAGTGGCCTGGCAGCAGGCTCAAGGACACAGGGACCTACACCCACAGGGAACAGAAATCTGCCACCAACTGGTGAGCCTCCTGGGGCAGAGGGTAGGGCTCTCCTGGTGCTCCACACCTCATGTGATCACACAGCAAGTGCATAATGCCATGTGTGTGGTAAGACACTCAACAGACACCTGGAAGACCTGGCTTCAGCCAGGTGGCATGTCTCTTTAGAAGTCTGTCTTAGGGTTCTCCAAAGGAGCAGAACTAATGGGATCTGTGTGTTTGTGTCTGGTGGTACCATAGTTAATGTATTCAGCTGCTAACCAAAAGGTCAGTGGTTCAAACCCACTGGTGCCTCCATGGAAGAAAGATGAGGCAGTCTACTTCCTTAAAGATGGCAGCCTTGGAAACCCCATGGGGCAGTCCTCCTCTGTCCTCTTGGGGTGCTGTGAGTTGGAATCGGCATGAAAGCAGTGGGTTTGGATTTTTCAGATAGGTAGATGGGGATATGGATACACAGATACCTGCCTTGGTTCCCTAGTGCAGCTGTCCCAGAGACACCACGCGTGGGCAGCTTGGTCACACAGAAGTTCATTTCCTCACTGTTCAGGAGGCTGGAAGTCTGAACACACGTGCCAGCTCCAGGAGTAGGGTCTTTCTGTGGCTCAGGGAAGGTCCCTGCCTCTTCAGCTTCTGGGTGACCCTCATGTGGCTTGGCCTCCCTCTTCCCCCAGCGCTGCCTCTGTTGTTTCCTTGTTTAACCTCTTTTATATCTCAAAAGAGATTGACTTAAGACACGCCCCACTGTGCTGCTCTCATTAGCATAACAAAGAACTCACTTTCCAATGGGAGTCTAACACAGATAGGGGGTAGGATTGACAACATATGCTTTTCAGGGAAACAATTCAATCCACAACAGTATATGTGTGTCTGTGTACATTATGCATGTGTACAGTGTGTGCATGTTGTGTGTGCATGTATGTGTGGTATGTGTGGTGTGTGTATGTGTGTGCTGTGTGGTGTATGCTATATGTGTGCTGTGTGCGGTGTGTGTGCTGTGTGTGTATGTGTGTGTATTTAGAGAGAAAGATTCTGAAAATTTGGCTCATAAGATTATGGGGCTTGGCAAGTCCAAAGCCCACAGCCAGACGGCAGGCTGGACACTCCAGCTGAACATCTGTGTTCCCGTCTAGAGACATACTCCTTCCCTCTTGGGAAACCATATTTTGCTCTTATAGCCTCCGACTGATTGGATCAGGCCCACCCACACTATGTCAGGTCAACTAACTATAAACGGGAGCCCCATGTAAACACCTTCCCAGCCACATCTAGATGAGTGTTTGTCCACCCTGGCTCCACACCGAGCCAAGTGGACCGGGGAATTAGCCTCAAGATGCATCGATTGCACAAGTTTCTGTCTGCAGATGCTTCTTGGATGTACCTTGACTAGGAACAGCTTGAGGTGCTCTGAGCCCAGTGGGCAGTCTCTCTTCCTGAGCACCTGATGTGTGCCACCCTCAGGCCAGGGGCTGAAGGCTGCCTGCCCATGAGCAGCACTGAGCTGGGGTCCCCCTCATTCGGGGTCCCTGGGCCGGGCGGGCATATGGAGGTGTAAGTGGAGCCAGAGAGTGGGTGCCATCTGTCGGGGGACACAGCAGCACTGGACACAGCCAAGGCCAAGGTGACGGGGCATGCTCTCTCATAGCTTTGGAGGCTGGGAGTCTGAACTCAGCATGCCGCAGGGTCAGTTCCCTCTGGGAGCTCCAAGGCGGACCTGTCCCTGCCTCTCTCCCCGCTCCGGGTGGCCCCTGGTGTTCCTTGGCTTGTGGCCACAGTGCTCAGCCTCTGCCTTCATCTACACGGTGTCTCCCCTCTGTGCTTCTGCCCCTGTTATGAGGACTCCACTCACACAGCATCAGGACCCCTCTTCCAGTGTGACCTCCTGTTAGCCTAGCTGGCAACATCTGCAAACACCCCAGTTCCAAACAGGTTCCAGGCTCAGGACTTGAACAGATTTCGGGCGGCCTCCATTCATTCCACAACAGCCACCCTTTGACCTGTGGACTCCAGGCATGGTCCTGAGAGCAGCTGGGAGGCCCCTGTGGTGGGCCACCTCATCGGGTGGAGTGTCAGGGGCCTCACCCACCCTTCTGCGGCCCCATAGGTGGCCCAGAATGCAGCCCTGTACACAGGGGACCCCCACCTGGGCTTGGAGCTATTCGAGGCGGCTGGAGACATCTTCTTCAATGGGAACCAGGAGCGGGAGAAGGCTGTATCCTTCTATCGGGTGAGGGCCCCCATGGCATCAGTGCACCGTGTCTTCTCCCCCTGAGTCCTGCCCTTCCCTGCAATACTCCAGACCCCAGCCCCGACCCGGGAGGGATGGAAGAAAGGACTGAACGTGGGGGGGTCGGGGAGCACCTGGCCTACTACATGCAGCAGAGACCCCCTTGACAGATGGGAAACTGAGGCCCAGGAGGCAAAGGGGATGTCCCAGGACCAGCTTGTCCGTGGAGAGCTGGGATGAGGGCCTTGGTCTAGGTGTGCCTCTGGGGTTGGGTGTGCCTCTGGGGGGCGAGGGCTGGGGTTGGGGGTGGAGACTTCGCCCAACCCAGCCTGCAGCCCATGGTGTGTGGCTTCTTATCCCACAGCCCCAGGTACACCAGACAGGGGGTGTAGAGAGCTGATTCTGGGAGTGTTCAGGTGGGCCCAGGACTGAGGTTAGGGGGCATAGCAAGGCAGGTCAGGCCCCAGCTGCCAGGGCCTGGGCCTTAGTCCCCCCATCTGTAAGACGGGGAGCTGCTTCTCTGTGAACTGACCTCAGCCAGCTGTGGCAAGTCCGGCTTGGTGGTGCGGAGTGGCCCAGTGGGGCGGGGGCTCTGAGAAGGAGACCCAGGGACTGACCTCACCTGTGTGGGCAGGACCAGGCACTGCCCCTGGCGGTGGCCACGGGGAACCAGGAGGCTGAGCTTCGTCTGTGCAACAAGCTGGTGGCACTGCTGGCCACACTCAAGTCTCCCCAGGAGGGCCTGGAGTTTGCCCACACAGCTCTGGGCCTCAGCATCACCCTGGGTGAGTCCTCCCACAGGCCCCGGGTGAGTCCTCCCACAGGCCCCCGGGCCTCTGCATCACCCTGGGTGAGCCCCCAGATCCCAGGGCCTGTCTCAGGTCTTGGGCCTGACCACCCGTAGGCCACCTGCTCCCACCCAAGCCACCAAGGGCAGCAGGGGGTGGGATGGGGGAGGGCAAGCCATCAGCCCTCCCCTGCTCACTGTGTCCAGGGCGTGCTCCTTATGGCGGGACTTTGCCCCTCTCTGTGCAGACTCCCTTCCCACTCAGAGTCCTCACCACCTCCCCTGTGCTCACCCCACCCCTCCCCCTCCCCTCAGTGACCTTCCCACCCACCCATAGGCAGCCAGTCCCCTTCTTAGATGCTGCACCCTCAATGTCTGGGTGCCCTCTGACACACTGCACCCCGAGACCGGGGCCAGGCACCCCTTTATCTCACACATGGCCTGCAGCACCCCAAGGCTGGGGCTGGGCCTCCTCTGTCCCAGCACTCAGTTGCACTGAACCCTGAGACCGGGGCCGGGCATTCTTCTTCACCACACCCGGCTGCCCTACACCCTGAGACCGGGGCCTGGGAGGGTCAGTACTGGGTGCTGGATGCTAGCACATGGTTGGTGTGTGGACTCAGGCGCTCACCTGGTGGGACCACCAAGAGGGCCTGGTGCTGCAGGTCTGTCTGCATGGGAGGGGCCATGTGTGCAGAGGTGGGGCCGGGAGGTGCCAGCATCAAACCTGCAGAAACCAGGCTGACCAAGCCCTGGTGACCGTGCACCTAGACCATGTCCTTGGCACCTCCTGGGTAAAGGTAGTGACCAAGGTGGCCCATCCGGCTTTGCCAACCCCAAGGCCACCTGGGGGTGACGTCCCCCGCCCACTTTATAGACAGGCAAGCTGAGGTCTGGGTGGGAGGTGAGAGGCCTGAGCTCCCAGGCTGATGGACCCTCATGGCACAGCACACCGCCCAGTGTCAGCACACGGGCCAAGGCCGGCCCCCTGCCTAGCGGCACACCTGCATCACAGGCCCCGCCTCCACGCTCGCCCTCCACCCTCCTCCTGCCTCTGTCTGCAGGGGACCGGCTGAACGAGCGTGTAGCCTACCACCGGCTGGCGGCCCTGCACCACCAGCTGGGCCACGGGGAGCTGGCCGAGCACTTCTACCTGAAGGCCCTGTCACTGTGCAGCTCGCCGCTGGAGTTCGACGAGGAGCCGCTGTACTACGCCAAGGTGTACCTGGTGCTGGGTGACATCATCTTCTATGACCTCAAGGTGGGGGGCCACGGGGGCTGGGGGGCGTCTCGGAGCCTGGAGGCTGGGTGTGTCCACCCTCGTCCTTTGGGACAAGCACTTGGGTTTCCTGGCTGGAAACAGCCTGGCTATCACCCTATAACTGCCCAGGCTTGAGGAATACGGGAGGTGTGCAGATGTGGGCCAAGCCCCCATGCTGGCCAAGCCCTGTGGGGCTTGGGGGCTCAGGCCCAGGCCCACCTTCAGAGCTCAGGACAAGCCAGTTCACAGCATCCTTCCCCGTGTGTGACTGTGTCTCCTGACTGTCACAGCATCCTCCCTGTGTATGACTGTGTCTCCTGACTGTCACAGCATCCTTCCCCGTGTGTGACTGTGTGTCCTGTCACACCGTCCTCCCTGTGTGTGACTGTGTCTCCTGACTGTCACAGCGTCCTTCCCCGTGTGCGACTGTGTCTCCTGACTGTCACAGTGTCCTTCCCCGTGTGTGACTGTGTCTCCTGTCACACCATCCTCCC